CCACATTCCACCACTTTTTCATGGACCACTCTTTCAAATTCAACAATTCTGAAACTTTTGAGACATTAATAGGATTTTTCAAATCTGACATTGCGATGTGTCGATTGGAAGACTTGAATTCTTGGAGCATGTCTGCAACTATTTTCTGAGCCATCCCGAAGGCAGCACATGCAACACGAACCTGAGTTCTAGTGAGCACCACGATTCAAAAGTTTTCACAAAAAATGAAAATCGAAAAGTTAAACACCCAAGAGTACATTGAAATGACATTTTCTCACGAGTGATGATATTCGCGGTCCTACCAAGTTCATCATTACTTTGGGGAAAAAAGTGTGATTTATTTTGCAACACCCCTTAAAAACAGGATATTTGTTTAGTAGAAAAATACATACAGAAAGAATATAGCAGTCAAGATTTCCTTCCTTATGAATTTTAGAAGTAATATTCTCAAAAGTCTTACAACAAGGTTTTTTGCACTAGAATTTAACCTAGAAATGGAGTTGCCCAAAATATTATGTAGAACAAAGTGTAATTGAGTTGTTTTTATACTTAATTTATACACAAATAATAATGACATTATACATTTATATTACAATGACTTCACCCTCATCTCTTCATTTTATATCAAATCTTTTCCCTATAGTACATCACACAAAGGTGACCATGTATCTTACTATTGAAATTAAGTTTCATTATCTTATTTTTCAATTTTTTAATAAAGAAGTCAAGAATTGTGAGCTCATAAGCAAGATATATGAGTGTGTTGTGAATAAATTACGAACACTGAGAATATGCAATCTCTATAAGTTAAAGACTAAAGATATTTTAAAGTTTTTTTAATATAAAGAGCTGTCTTAATTCTCTTTTTACTAATGTTTTTATCAAAGCCTGTGGGTGACAAATCCAACAACCATATTCCACTTGTACTGATGTATCACCTTGTCGACAAACAGATCCAAGATGTCATAACAAACAGTTATAAGATACCCTAGGTAAACTAACCATTAGTCCTATTTTAAAAATCTAACAATTGGTGCTTAGAGACATGACAAAAGCTTAGAAAACAACTGATGGCTCAAAGCAACCTTATATAATAAGCAAACCTGTTGGAAACAAAAAGTACACAGTTTTGTGACCTACATAAATGTGCTACTTGTCCACATAAAATGATATATGGCCATAACAAAGTATTGGAAATAATTATGAAAATGCAAAGGTGACAAACATAAAAAAGTTACCAACAATGAGCAATTGGTCAATTTATCATCAGAGTATTATTACAGAAAATACACGAGTAGTGAATAAGCTGTACAATGTATTAGTATTTTGTAATTGCTTTAAACAGAATGATGCTCTTTTTTGTTTTTTTATATACTACCATAAGTTTATCAATGTATGACAACTATGGTTTGGTCTGCACAAAATCCCAATATGAATATTATTAAGGCTGTATTAGTTTATATATAAAAACTGAAAAGGTTGCACAGCAACCAGGAAACTCGGATGAATTGTATTGGGTAATACAGGACAGTTACAACAATATTTCACAATAACTGTTCCATCAGCCTATTTTTCCTTCCAGGTATTGTTTCACCACATTTTCTGTATGCTTAGGAACACTCTTTTGCTGGAAAATAAATCCCTGTCTAACAGATCTTGTTCCTGAGAAAATGACTTGATGGATAAGAAACAGTAGTCAAAGTGCCATCAATTTTGTGTTGATCTTAAACATCACTGACTGAGATCCAGCCAACATTTGTATTGTCCCCCAGCAAGCTTCATTGTAGATGTTATTTGACCATAATATCAATCTCCTCTCTGCCATCATCAGTAGAGAGCATCCTCCTCCACATTTGCTAACCCTATTGTTTGAAGTATGATATCCATTTCAGCTTTTTTGGTTTATTTCTCTCTCTTTCTACTAAGCAGTAGTTTTTGAGCAGCTGCACATCCACTGAGGCAACTTCATGCTAATGTGTATCTTACTGTTCCAGAAGTAACACTCACACTGGTTTTTATAACTAGGTCATGGGAAAAATCTGTACTGGATTATCATGTATCATGTAAAGAGCATACTCTGAGTTATTCAATATCACTTTTTTAAAAGTATGGGCTTTTTATCTCAACCACTTCTATTATCAATAGCTCTAAGTTCATGTACCTTTTTCATAGTTTCCATACAGCTCCTACTGAAACATGAAATTGTTTCTTAATCTGTAACACACAGTTGTCTCCACTAGCCAAAACTTTATGTTTTGCGTGAATGAGGAATGTCTGTCCTGGAAGTTATGAGTGCATTCACCATATTACTGTTGGGAATGGTAAGACTACTTGTACTTTAGGCATTACTGCAATCTATCAATAAGTGACAGTATTTTGGTGAAGTTAATTTTCATAATTATAATGGGGGGGGGGGTGATCCTATAATATTTGCAATTTATATCTATTTTTATTCACTGTTTCCATCATCACTTCTAATACTGCATATTGCTACTTAAAATAACCTTTTAAATACATAATTTATAGAAAATGTTACTATTAAAATGGACATACAAAAACTGTTTTGATGAAGGGGAATACAAAGTATATTAGAAAATATGCACCACTAAGACAAATATTACATTTACAAGGTATATATCATTAATTTTTTTTTTCCAATACCATACTCACACATGATTCAATACATTCAATACTGAAAAGCCTCACTTTCGTTTCTGTTTTATTTAGGTTTGAAGGGAAGATGCTTCAAAGAATCATTTTTAAAAATTTTGTTTGACAATTCATAACACTTTTATTAATCTAGTTTAGTATGTTTTTTAGATTTACTGAATATCATGAGCATCACCAGAAATTTTTAGGGGGTTTCATTTCTGTCCCTGGTGCATCTTTCTTAGTGTTTAGATATGTGTGTGTACATATACATGTACATAATGTGCAGTTTTACATAGATGTACATATATATATATATATATATACATTTAAAATACACATTATGGCAAGAGCTTGATGATGAACATTATGTTGAAAAAAAACATTCATGCATGTTTCAAAATAAACTGTACATTATCTACTCATCATTCAATTGAGGTTTATATGTACGCTATAGTCATATGTAAGTCTCTTTTTAACAACTATTATGAAGGTGTGTACAAACAGTCACGGTGTTTTGAAGCATACCTAACTACCTCAGCATAACTGAAAATATGAGGGATCTATCCTGGTCAGAATGTGAATTTACACTATGGCATTTGCTTGGTCAGCATGATCTAGAACAGCATGGTACTTGCCCATTCACATTGTACTGAGAAGGAGGACCACTGGTGTTTAGTACATTTGAATATGCTAAGACAGCGCTAAGGAGACTGGTTTTGCTGTTCACCTGGAAATGGCAGCTTGCAGAATTATTTGTAAACCAAAAAGAGATTTGTTCACACTTCCCCGAACCCACCTTTGGAAACACTCTTGACATATGACTTCTAATAACTGAATTAAGTAAAACAATGAGATATGGTACTATTGAAGAATAGTAAGTTAATTCATTTAATGTAATCAAGTATGAAAATGATGAAGAAATGTATATATAAAATACCTTAGCAGAGATAGAAGTCTATTAAAAGTGTTAAAATTTAGAGGTATTGAAGATAATCTTTTCATTTGTTCCAAAATATTTTGTTTAAAAGTCCCCATTACAGGCAGTGGTAGAAAAATTATTAACTTGAAACTTGATGTTGAACAAAGTAGCAACAAATTAGTTATCAAGTAGATAACCAAACTGTTATTAATTTTGATCAGCTTCAAACTTGTTCAACCTATTATTTAATTTTGACATTTTCGTCTCCTATGCAGTTTTAACTATATTTTTCTGTGTTTATTTAGTCATTATCAAACATTGTTTTGTTTATAACTAGAGAGTTTCAATATTCAATCAGCTTCAAACATGACTTAAGTAGGGAAACAGATTGTTACAACTTTTGATCAGTTACAAACCTGACTTTATTTAAAGAAGGATGACATTTTGAGCTAGCACTCTTCATCAGATCATACAGTTTACAACAAAACTGTAAACTCTACAATTTGACAAAGAGAGCTAACTCAAAACGTCCTTCTTTAAATAAGAATTTAAAAAAAATTGACAAAAATATAAAACAACTTGGCAATTGTTCAACCTATTATTTAATTTAAATAAACACAGACAGTTTGGTTATTTATTTGAACAATGTTTTACATTGACCAATTCAGAAGAAGTTTGATCATCTACTCAAACAATGTTTTCATACACCAATTTAGAAGTTTTGTTATCTACTTGAACAATGTTTGAAGCTATCAAAATTTGAAACATTTTGGTAAATTACATGTCCTTGAACAACTTTTAATGACAAAGGTTTTAGAAATAGTTTTAATGCTTAAAAAGTTTCCTACTTACATGAAGATGGAGTGGCTGTGCGAATGTTTTCTTGAGCAGATTCAATGGGAGAAGGTATTGGGTTTGGTAATGAGTGATTCATGTACAAAGATTGTGATCTTTTCTCTACTGTAAGAACCACATGGTCAGCAGTAGCTTTCAATATAGCTACAGCCTCTTCATGTGTTACATTTTCTAAGTCCCTATCATTGACCTAGAAAACCCCATGGAAAAACACACTCATTAATTCATGACTATTTAATCAAAACACTGTGTCAAATCAAACAATTAAAAGAAAATCAAGCAGTATAAAATTCCAAGAAGCATGAGATATTATACAACAGTATCCAACAATTGAATGAAAACACATCTAGAAAGCATGCTGTAACTAGCATGAAATTTTTTAAAATTCCAACTACATTATTCATAAGAAGGAAAACAGATAATAAAAATTACTTATGAATATATTTTCCTAAATTTTAGAAAATAAAATTATAGTGAAATTATAAATCTGAGAAAATATTAAGTATTACATTTCATTAAAGAAAAGACAACAACAGGTGATTTTTCTTTCAATCATTTTTATTTAATATTTCTTGCTTGAATAACCAAAGTAACAAAACAAGACTTACTGCAACAAGTTTATCTCCTACTTCTAATGTACCATCTATGTGAGCTGCTCCTCCTTCCAGGATTTTAGTAATGTAAATTCCATTGTCTCCTACTACATGCTGGTTACCTATTCCCCCTGCAATACTAAATCCAAGGCCTCTTTTTCCTTTAACTAATTCTATTGTTAAAACATGGCTGTGATGAAGTCGTCTTCTTTTCACAAACTGAAAAAGTAAAAAATTAAACTTGATTCTATAGGAATAACAGATTTTTAATTTATCTTTTATAAACATATTAGTGTTCAAAGGATCAAGTTCTTTTGCTGGTCCAAAGTTCTATAGTAAATTTAAAATATTCCCATACACCAACCTGTGTATTGGTTGCATTTAAAGAAGGCCACTGCATTTTGTTTCTTTCAAATAAAATTTACACAATACTGCATCAGAAATACTGAGAATAAATTATAGTATCATGTGAATTTTATGAGAAAAAGGACAAAAAAAAGATATCCAAGAACACACAGATCTATGTAACTTCAATCCTACATAAATGTTTCTGGCACTATGTATACTTTCCAGGAGTGGAATGTATTGAAAAATAACCAACAAATCAACACTTTAATAAAGTATAGCAATAATCCAATCTTTTCTATTCTTCATATTATTGATATCTAAGACTTCTATTCATTATATTTGAAGTTCACGAATGCACAATAACTAGTTTGTAATGGCAACATCTACAAAACTGAGTAATAGTTTCGCTGATTCAATTTCTCTCTCCTTTTTTTTTTATATACCATTTTACTTTTTACATAGATGCTTTCACATTTCTTAAATATTGTTAGTTTTTTCAATATTATAACAAATATTTATTCTACTTGAAATACACAAACCTAGTTGCTACATACCAAATGTACTGTATTTCCTGCTCTTTTTAATGCATCAACTGCCACAGAGTGAGGAACATCAATCAATTCAACATCATTAACTTTGAGTATAATGTCATCAACCCTGAAGAAAGTGTAAAATATGAGTCTTGATGATGTATGTATATATATATATTACAACCACATAATTATATTTTTTAAAGTCTAAATAGATAATTAAGACAGTCTACACAAACCCAAGTTTCACCTACTGGTTCTGTGATTTCTTATTATCATTTCTTCCCTTTACTTTCTAATATGAAAAAAGTAGAGTGTAATATGCATAAACCAAATAACTTGTACCTAAGTTAGGAATTAGAAACTAAAACTACATTGAATGTATTAATAATGTATACTCAAAAATAATTTACTTATTAGTGCCAGTCTTCAGATGATAAAGAAATACAGATTTCTGTAGCTACAACTTACACAGATACTTCACAATATTAAATTACTATATAAAAGAAGTACATTATATTAAATTATCTCAGAACATCACAACATCATTTTAGCCCATGTTGTCAAGTCTGGTCAGGCTCTATCTGACAACCATGCATGTTGATAATAGCCCAGCAACATAATTTCCATTGCAAATAAACACTGACTCCAAAGACTTGACTGGTATATCTTCATAGAAAATAGCATAAAACCCCCATTCATTCTTCAGCTGCTTTAAGTATGTGACATCTGAACAAATATGTCATGGAACCAGCCTTTATAAACATGTACCTGATGATGACAAAACCTTGTCGAAACGTTGTACATTTGCTGTTATGTTAAATTTATATTAAAGTTTTACTTCATTAACAATTCAAGCCGTCTACAAGCATTATTAGTCTCAAAGTGGGTTCCTTGTCATAAAAATAGATGATGTCATTGAATTTAAAACAGAACTTTGTAGTAAGGTTAAACAGGATAAGAAGGTTTGATGGGGGTGTGGAAATTTTGTGTTTCAGGTCATTGATAAATACTTCAATAGCAAGTTTGTAGGCTTCTTCTTTTGAAATTTGGGTATATAGATTTTGTACATCAAAACTTGCCATTTTGTGTTTTGGATAAAATTTGTTTAAGGAATCAGTAAAATGTGGGGTATTTTTGATGATGTTATCCAAATTGTTGTATGCTGATATAATCCATGTCAGATATTTGCCAAGGTTATAGTTAAAATAAAACACTATAAAACACATTTTAATAGATGTTTTATGAATTTTCAGCAGTACATATAGTTGAGAAGTTTTATCATTGGTTACATTACACTGATGTAGATCTCCTCAACTCTACAGATTGCCAAGAATTCAACTGTCTTTTAGAGTGTAACACTTGCCTGATAATGACTAGATATTGTGGGTTAAAATGTTGTAATTATCAAAATAAGATCTTGCTTACTGTAAAAATTGCTGTTTAATTTATTTTGAATTAATTTCTACAGAGCCAGTTAGCTTAAATATGTGCTTATGAATGATCCAGTAAAATTTGCTGGCTCATCTCTGTATGTATATTAAAACTCCAGTGGAGACTTGCTGGGCCATGTGTCTATCCATTAATACTATAGTAAAGATTTCCAACTCATATATATTTTACTTATTAACAGTCCAGGAAAGCATGTTGCCTACCATATCTGTCTTCAGATATTGCAGTAAAACCTGCTGCCTCACATCTACCTACTGATACAACAACATATTGTTCTGGCTGTAATATTTCCGTGCTTACTACTACTCAAGTAAAGCTAGCTAGCTCACATGTATATATTATAACTACTTCTCTAGAAATTCCCACTGGCTAATATATTTCTCTAATTTTAATACAACAAAGTTTGCTACATCATATCTACTAATACTGCAAGTATTTCAAAGAAATCTACTGTTTCATGCATTATAGTTGTGTTAATCAGGTACAGCGACATTTGACAGATGAGTTAAATACCTACAACTGAGTAAATTTCAGAAACATTATGCAGATAATAATTTCTAATACAGTTTGTTTGTAATTAAGCATAAAGCTACACAATGGGCTATCTGTGCTCTGCCCACCATGGGTATCAAAACCCGGGTTCTAGCATTGTAAGTCCACAGACATACCGCTGTGCCACTGGGGGGGCTTCTAATACAGAAAACAAATAATTTTAAAGAAACAGAACAAATAAAATATTTTTTCACAATCAGTGTGAGTATTTATTTAATTGGTTGGCTTCTAAGTTGATTGATGAATGTTTCCAAGAAATAAAGATCAAAATCAGAATTGTGGTGATATAACATTGTTAGGTCAGACCAAGGTCCAGGTGTAGTATCCTACAATCCTTAACTTACTTGTGTGAATGATCATTCTAACTATACATATTCAAAGGAAATAAGCCCCCAATGTACACTAATTTGTAAAAGTCTCTATACCACCCCTTGAAATAAGTATGCTCCCACTTCAGGGGGTAAAACACTGAAACAGGGCTAAGTAAGTACAAATCTTATTGTTGAATAATCATGTGGTGTGTATATATATATTACCCTTCTCTAAGTTGGAGGAATATCATAACTTTATGACCTTTGTGTACATATAGTTTACAAGGGTGTCACTAACAGCATGCAGAACACCTGATTATAAATTTAGCAATATTCTCCAGAATATATAGAAATAAGTATATGTTCTTTGTTATTGAAGGTAAAAATATTATAATATTTCCTACCATCATACAGAAAATTCTGCTAGCTATTATATCAATCTAATAATGATACTGTAGTATATTGGATCATTTGCCTACCTTCTAATATTCCAACAAATTGTGCTGGTTCATATGATTACTTATTGATGTTTAAGCACTTTTACTGGTTTTTATGACTAACTTCTGACTCTAAAGCAAACCTTGTTTACTAATATACTTGTCTATTACTATTCCAGCAGAGGAAATGCATTGAAATTCATCTAAAATATATTTAATAAAACAGTTTTTTTTATAATGTCCTAAAGCATAAAAATTTTCAATGATTATATGTGAAAGGAAACTAAATAATACACTTTTTCAATAGCTAACACTGTTTTCTGACTTCTTTCTTTATAAATTACATACGTTATCATAATGCAAAGCAATTCAGTTATCTTCACTAATTATCTAAATATAAAATAGCAGGGATTTGTTAATTGAATATATCTTAATCTTGAACACTGTTACAGAAATAGTTTCATGTATTTTTAGAAAATTTTAATAATTTTTTTATAAAATCAGAAATCTAATTTGAGTACTTCAGATTTAGCCAGAGATTTATTTAGCTTTAAGAAAAATACTAAGCATGTTCAAATTTGTAGTATTTCACTTAACCATCAATTGTTTTTATGTAGACAATTTTTAAGTTTCCAGCCCTATTTAGAAACCATATTGGGCTTAGAAATTTGTTATAGGATCTTAATTTGTAAAGAATTTCTATTTCCATAAAACACTTACTGTAACCTTCCATCTGCTGCTGCAGCACCTCCTGGAATAAGTTTAGTAATGTACACACTAGGATCACCTTCAACATGTGGATTATTTATTCCTCCAGCAATACTGAACCCTAGCCCTGCTCCTCCCTAAGGCAATAGATCATTACAATTTAAATCTAGAGCAATAAAGCATCAGTTTTCAATCAAATACACATACTAATAAGAAAATGACTGGAATATGTAGTAATTATATATGGATGTTATAACAAATTGTAAGGTAAATTCTATTGTATACAGATTTGAAAAGAGTTTCCATTTTCTTATTTTTCTCATTGCTTAGCTGAATTAGAGCACAATAATAATTATACGATGTTTCCAGGTAAACCATCATATTATTTATATCTGAATACAATTAAAGTACAGTGAGGATCAACACATTTTTAATGTTTCAAATTTGAAAACATTTCTATGATTACAGTTTACTGTGCTTTCATGTTGGTACGACACATGGAGAAGTTTCCATTTAGAACATAAACAAAAACCTACTGATGCAATTAATTCATACACTACAGAAATAAAGAGCAATATTAAAGAACTTGAAGTAAGTAAGTCAAATCTACAATTGAATATTTTTGGCATCTAAATGCATTTATTTGTTCACACTTCATAAACATTTTCATGTAATTTTACCAATGTTACAGGTTATTTTCATTTTTTATCAACTGCCTTACTTCCTTCCCTATATGTAAAACACAGACTTGACTTACGAAACAATACAAGTTAGATTAAATATAAGATAACTAATAAAACAAGAGGGAATCCTCAATAACTGTGGCACTTAAAATTCTTTTAGGCAGGGCTACAGTAAATTAATCTATGAGACCTTTATTTCCTTTTTTATTAGCTATATTCTTGTGTGCCAGCAATACCAAGCATGGGGCGTGCATATACGTGATTCAATATTTTATTACTCATTAGTGATCTCTACCAGCTTATCTTCAAATTGAAATTCTTTAAGGTAGAATGAGAATAAATTAATCTATGAGACATTGGGCATGGTCAAATACATCAATCGAAAGGGTTTGACCTCCTGAGTCCAAAACAGTAATTACATCTCAAATCAGTCAAGATATTACAGAGTTATGAGCTAAAAGTTTGCACTTGAAAAAAAACAAACAAACTCAGAACCATTATATGAGATACTCAGCCGCAGCTAAAAATATTAAATGCCTTTTAGACTGTTTCATTAACTTCAACAATACAATAGATAACCAGACAGATTGAAAATACTGCCCGCTCAATTTTTCTTGACTTTACTTAAATTCCAACTCTTCCAAGGATGATTATGGTCAATAAAATGCTCTAGTCAATTTATTAATAAAACTTTGTCAGGATTTTTGAAGAAAAGTTATGTGAAAAGGGAAGGGGGAAATTAAAGTCACACGTGCTACTTCAGATTATCTGAAAATCTCTGGCCCAAGAAAAATTATAAAAGACATACTCTTTCCAAAGTTATTTCTTCATATTCCCAGTCTTCTTCACCATTTGTCTGTCAAAGAAAAACGTATACAATCTAATTAAAATATCTGAATTTCAAAATAAGTTCATTAAAACTCTGCAAAAAAGATACAGATTTTCAAAAATGTAACTTTTCAAAAGCAAGATAAAATCTCTGCTAAAATATGGCTTAAGTACCAAGAACAGCAAATGCTAATTTACAAAAAAATATGAATTTTTCAATATTAACACTTGGAGAAAAACTCCAATTATAACATTTTCTCAGAAAATTGATTTGCAGCTCAAATGTTTGTGTGACTTTACATTACAAACACTACTGTGGAAACTACACCATCACATGTATTGCACAAAATTCCATTTCACTCAACTTCACTCAAAACAATGTTTCAAATACAACTCAGGTGTCATAAAATATAACAAGTTCTATAGATAGGTTTAAAATATTCAAAATAACCTGATAAATTTGAAGTCTCACATTGGTTAACTACATAAAAATTTAATAACTTTATATGAATGATGAACTTGTAATTATACAGGGTAAATCTCACTCTGGTTAATTTATATGGATTTAAATATTTTTAGTGTAATGATTACATTAAATCATAAAGAGCAATTATTACTCTAATTAACACTACACATACATGAAGATTTTAAAAACATGATCAATATGATATATATGTAAATAAGAATAACATATCCAAAGGTAAAAATGATTGATTTTTTACAAGAAGGAAGTAGCCCTACTTGTACATGCAAACTTGATGCAATGCTGGTAAAATGGATGTGCATGTGTGAGAGCCAAAGTGCACATACCATGAACTTTTACAAAGTGCCATTCAATATGGTATTATGTATATAATATCAGGGTTATCAACTATTCATTTTACCCTACAATGCCAATTTAGCAATAGTTTATGGTGAAGTAAATACCAGATACAATACACAGAGATGCTGAAAAAAAACAAAAAACTGTAGATATTTTTTTCAGAGGTTCTAGAGGTTATACAAATGTAATATGTAAGCTGTGTAATTGACAAAAGTATTTTTATTCTTCACACAAACATCTCCTTGTGCTCTGACTTGTCAGAGTCCAAGTCAGACCAACGTTGTCAATTTACAAACATGTCTTTGAGTACAAATACTTCTGTAATACATCTCTTAGATAAAATAGACTTGTACATTTAATTAAAACCTTACCACAGTTTGTGTAGATACACTAGTAAATTCAGAATTATAGTCAATTTTCTTTCTCCAATATGTGGTTAATCCATAAGATTGATTCCATGCACATTTGTTTAAAATAAGAATCTGGCTTTAAATTAAAAGCACTGCTAAAGAAATTACTATGTTACTATTATATGTATCACACAATGTTCATTATAAATCCATCTACTCACCATAACCTTCAAAGAAATGATATGGTTTTCACTGGCAACCATAGGGTATGTTCACTAAGCTAGTCCTGTTTAAACTTGACACTGTAATGTATTCATCACTGGCTACACAGCATTCTGAACAAAGTTTACTTTATTTATACTTGCTTAAGTAATGTGGTGTTTAATTGCAACCATAATATATGCTCAAATACATTAGCACTATATGCATATGCTAATACAACATGGTGTTCCTATAGTTCATTCATACTGGAGGTTTTTCATTTTAATTTTGATCTGTGCAGTATAATACCACTCTAGATGGTTTTCATAAACTAAATTATTTTAACAATTAATTTGATTATTTTCTATTATTCATCTCATATCTACACAAATTTCTTTACATTATGGACAAGCCTCCAGATGTGATTGACACAAGAAGTTTAAACTGATGTATTATTAAATCATTTATTTCTATTTATATATTGACTTCTGTACTCATAAAATACCAATTTGTTAAATCTACCAGTAACTTGATGACACTTAAAAATTATATGATATATAGTCCACCACTTAGTTTAAGACTGGTTTAAAAAAAATACTCTATATGGTTCTAAAAGATATTTTAAACAAACCAGAAAATAATGGCAGCAATACAAATTTTAATGCATAAATATACCATAATTACATGTTCATTCATACAACATTCCCATAAAAAAATCATAGGTATCTATAGTACCAAATGTATGATTATTTTGCTTTTAACAAAAATTCATTAAATTTTGTGAAATATCCTCTCCTGTTACAATATCTATCACAAAACTTCTCACAGTTAAATATATATCAAACATTTTACACATAACAAATGCCTGAATATTTGAATATTTAGTACTAAGGTCAACAACTTACAAAATAGCTTTCATATGGATTTGCCTGAGCAAAAAATAAACTTAACCATCTTCTTATCATTTCAGTTTATAAAATGACCAAGTCACAAGCCACAAAAACACCAAAAAATAAAATGTTATAAAAGAACCACCTCAGACAAGCAATATGGCTGTCTTATAAAAGGAACAGTACTTCTACGTGTACCTTAATGATATCAAATGGAGGTACAGTAAGCTAACCTTTGACTTCTGCTTTAATACAGATAGCATTACATAGTACATACACAGAGCTGATTCATGAGTGATAATCACCATGGTAACCACTTTTATATGTTTACTGTACAAAAAAATACCAAACTAAGCCATAAGTATTTTTACACTTTTAGTTAACTTTCAAAATCAAATCATCAGTTATACACCAAATATTTTTTTGTCTTGCATCAAGCAAGAAGGCTGAAAATGACAATAATATCTTAACAAGTTAATAAACTTGACAATAATGTAGGTCTTGGAAATTTAAACATGAATAAAGGATACATCATTTATTAATTACAAGTGTGAAATTCAAGAAAAAACAGCTAATTACAATATTAAGTGATCAGAAAAAATAGATTATTGTATTTGCTAGAACAGAAAAACTAGGTAGGGCTATATTTTGCCCTTTAAATTAAGCCCTTTCAAACCTGTATAAATACAGGTAGATAACATCAGACCAGAAGTCCATAGAAAATTTCTTAATAGTCCCAAAATAACAACACATGATGTAATTTACAAAAAAAGAATAAACACTTAAAATATAAAGTAACTGATTTGACAGTCTCATAACTACAAATATTTCATATTTTTATAAGTAGTTACATAGGAGTTCCATGCAATAATAAAAAAATATTTTGGGTTTATCTTTTCCTGTGTAGAATCATGTGAAATTGGCTTTTCTATTTGTTTTATGTTAGTTTTGTTTTTCATTTAGAATGTGTATGCAAGAGATAACTGTTTTTCTTTGTAGCATATTAAAATGCTTAAGTGTCCATAACAGTTTCATCAAAAAAATAACACCTTCTTGTACAAGAAATTGGTTTATGGTACTATTTTGTACATATAATTTTCCAGTCAAGTAGTTTATCTAAAATAACAAAAGCCAGTTACAGTTTATGATATTTTTGTTTTGTCTAATATAATAACACTTTCCCCTATAACACATGGATATGATACTTTTGTGAGAAATGGGTTCATGGGAAATTTCCTTTTCAATATAGGGTACTTTCCTAAATAAGAAACTGAATGAAAGCAGTTTGTTTATAATAAAATGACTCCTTTCTGTCCAAGATATTCATTTATAGTAACTTTTCCCTAAATAATGTTTTTCTCTGTAAGACTTGGGTTTATGGCAGTTTTATCTAATAGAATGACACCTTTCTGTATAAGAAAAGTAGTTTATTACTTTCTTCTATAAGCTATGTGTTTATGATTGTTTCTAGTAAAATGGGTTTAGCATTCTATACTAATTATGATTAAAAATAGTTCTAAGGTATGGTAGTTTTACTTCAAGGAATTTCATACAGTACTGTGTAAAAGTGTTAGGACAAGAGAATATTTTGTCATTCTTTCCATTTTATGGGGTTAATTCTTCCATGCCATTACAGAATGTAAATTTCAACACCATGGTAATGCTTCACTGATCCCTGTTGATAATTGAATGAGTCAGGGTGAGAATACTTATTATTCTTTAGAATTCCCATATACTTGTACCAAGAGCATATCATAAGGGTTCTGCTTGAATGAACATACTAATATTTAGGGTCTGAAATAACTGTAAGAGTACCCCATGCAGTGTCTTAACTATATAGAAAGAAGCTAGCATATGGTACAGGTATGTAGTAATAGATAAAGAGAAATGTAGACTGTGGGAATTGGCAGCAGGATTTCAGGGGGAGCTTAAGCTTTTACATGCAAAGAATACATCGGCTAATAATGACTTTCAGGAAGTTAGAAAGAGTACTATTAGGGCTAAAAGTAGTGAATTTAGTTATGATGAGCCTGTTCTATTGTGCAACAAATTTCAGCCCTTGGCTTCTGCAGATGAGGAACTATTGGAGGGAAGAAAAACAAAAGGGACTGAGAAGGATGTGAATGATAAGGAGGTTATAGTTACAGGTAATTCTCTGACAAGACATATGGATAGTATAGTCTGTGGGGTAAATAAGAGGAAAAGAATAACATTATGCTATACAGGGGCACAGGTGGAGGATATAACTAACAGAGCAGGAGATATAATAAAAGGGGCTAGCACAGATGCAGTTTTTGTGGTGCATGTAGAGGCAAATGATGTAGGGAAAAGTAGGTCAGAGGAGCTAAGGGGTTGATAAAGACATTTAAAGAAAAAGGCCATAACTTAATTTTGTCAGGGATACTGCCCAGAATTAACTGTGGAGATGAAGTTATAAGTAGGTCACTAGGGCTAAATGCTAGGCTTAAGTTAGTATGCAAGGGTGAGCAGATTGGCTGGTTGGACTTGTGGGATCAGTTCAGTGGAAGAAGGGAGCTTTTTGGAATGGATGGTTTACATTTAAATAGGATAGGGACTGGTTTGTTTGCAAGGGCTATTAACTCAGCTGTAAGGGAAGTTTTAAACTAGGACTAGACAGTGGTGAAGGCAAGGATAAAATAAATGCAAAAAAAATAAGTTGCAGAGAAAAGTTTAGGAAATGGGTATTGAAGTAGTTCTAAAGGTAGGCTTAATTGTTGCTGTTGTAATGCTAAAAATATAAGAA